GATGAGAACAACTTTTGGGAAAGCAAGGCTATGTGAAATTCAATGGAAACGTCAGCTCAACTCATGTCATGTGACATGGACAATCCTATACTCGAGGATGCCGGGTTCTAGCAGGTTCATCATCAGTGGGTCATTGTGGGAAAATTCTACTACGAGTCCTTCACCTTAGACGAAATAGGGTGAATACATCTCATTATAATTTATAGCAGTTGAATTTGAGGTATCTTTAATTATAATTCATAATTTTAACTTGTTCGTGTGCTTGAATGCGATTATCGCATTGTTGTACATTGATAGCTAGTTTTTTCTACTATACTACCTTATGGCAACTAGTTAGTTTGATAGACATTCTGGTTTTTTAACAGATTTTAATACTATTCACTTCTCTATAGTGGTATTTTCCTATTGGCATCCGTCTACCTGGAGGGTTCAACTATGAGGGGCATAGTTTGCCTTAAAAATAACCATTGTTCAGTGATCAACAGGCAGGCTGATGCCAACTGACAATTGTGACGAAATAGCATTTTTACACCTTCCGTTATCAAGCCTAGTTAATATAAAAGTCCAACCGATGCCTTAACAGACTAAAGCTATTTTGGTTCGAAGTCACTCCTTTTAAGCATCATGGGCGCCTGAAGGACAGTTTTTGTCTTGGCACCGAAATTCGCCAATTATGATAGATTCACTCAAAACATTGCTAAAAGAGGTATTCTTCACTAAGCACATATGCATATTTATGTGCGCATGTGCATATTTGTATGTTTGTATGCATGAAATTATCTTCTAATTCATCTTTTCGTGGCCCCCGTTCTTACCCCAGGAAAGGCATCTTTGACACAGACACCCAGTTTCGCTTACTGGCTTATAGTAAAGGTAGTGGAAGCACTACTTCAACCATACTGGACAGTGTATGCGAGGCAATATGCTTGTAGTCAAGTTATAGAATCAATTGTGAAATTGCATCGGAGATGATCCTGCTTAAGTGATGTAGACAGACTGGACCCTTGTAGAGTTGCTAGATTATGATTATGATGGTGATTGTGGTTAGAAGAAGAGAAATTTGAGCCTGCTCATTGGTAGCTTTGCGCAAGCATACAGAAACACGCCCACAGACGCAGGTATGAAGGTCGGACAGCACACTTGCGCACAATCGAGTACATCGTCTCTACTAAATGCTCCGATCTCTGCATAAGTAATCCCTTCAACATCGACCAGGTCATGGGTAGAGGTACAGTCCAGTCTAGCCTTGCCTCCACTTCCTGCAAGTCTGAGAGGCGACGAGTAAATGGCGCCTTATTTGCAACCTGATCCTCTGCCTGGCCCTTCAGCACAGTTGCCAGCGTGTCTCTATTGGCCCCCCGACTGAGTGGAAATTGATTTGGTTCGCTCTCCATAATGCAAATGGACTTAAACTTGTGCACATGCATTTTGTGCAACCGTCTTGCACACATGTCGGCGAGAGGAGGAAGGGAATAGGCATGGGGCCGTTCGGCCGTGTCGTATGGACGACATCGATGGAAGCAAGCAATTAGGTGAAGTGAAGTTATTCAAAGAGTCTAAAATAGCTCCGTCGACAGGTTTGGGTCCTCGCATTATCATTTATTGTGAACGTGTATTATAAAGAGATTGGAAGGTCGACCCCACTAGAAGACGACGATGGACTCAGCAGGGTTTACTGAAGCATTCCAGAAATGCTGGGTTTAAGAAAATAGTTTGGTTTAAAATTTTTAATTTTTCGCAGTAAAGTATGGTTTCGAGACTACTAGTAAGTCAGTAATATGAAATGTGATGAAGGACTGGCAGAAGAATATTCCCACAAGGATATGAGTAGAGCTGACGTTTCCATGGATGAGAACAAATTTTTGGAAATAAGGCTATGTGAAATTTAATGGAAACGTCAGCTCCACTCATATCATTGTAGGATAATTCTTCTACCAGTCCTTCAGCACCTTACACGAAATTGGGTGAATACATCTCATAAAATTGTTGTGGAGAGTCTTGAAGGTCAATTTAGGACAAGCTACCGCCATATTACAGTTTCAGTAGGGGTTTTCGATAGTACAAACATTTTATTGGTACGTTCATCTCATTTTCGAATAAAAGTTTCGCCAGAGAGATAGCAGACAGATTCGACGGGGCAAGAGGGAGACTTTGATAGGACCCAAGGAAGGACTACGTAACAATATGACAGACTCTCGTCCACATTCCCAGCACAGGGGTGAAGGGTGTGATAACGACAGTGTGGAGTGTGAAGGGTTTTCATGAATGCCGCTCGAAGGAGCACAC